CCGTAAGGCTCACCCACCACCCTCCGAGCCGCTCGTCCCGACAACGTACCTGGAAAAAGGAAACATTTACAAATTAGCAAGGCAACATTTGTATTGATTTGTAGAAGTTCTTACAAATAAAGTATATAATTCTCACTACTGCCTTTACAAATCATATATTACACATCTTTATCCTTTATTAAGTGAGCCACAAGGTCGCGGGTTCCGAACCTTGACATTACTCCTTTTTACTTCAGCATGTCCCCGTCACGGTGCCACCAACATCATCAGGAGCCTGTTACAGGATGAACAACCCAGCGGGTTTTCTTCCTATTGGGGAGTGTTGTACATGCTGCTATGGCGGTGTGTCCACTCACAGGATGAGTGGCGCTGCGCAATACTGTCACTATGGCGGTGTGTCCACTCACAGGATGAGTGGCGCTGCGCAATACTGTCACTATGGCGGTGTGTCCACTCACAGGATGAGTGGCGCTGCGCAATACTGTCACTATGGCGGTGTGTCCACTCACAGGATGAGTGGCGCTGCCCAATACTGTCACTATGGCGGTGTGTCCACTCACAGGATGAGTGGCGCTGCCCAATACTGTCACTATGGCGGTGTGTCCACTCACAGGATGAGTGGCGCTGCCCAATACTGTCACTATGGCGGTGTGTCCACTCACAGGATGAGTGGCGCTGCCCAATACTGTCACTATGGCGGTGTGTCCACTCACAAGATGAGTGGCGCTGCCCAATACTGTCACTATGGCGGTGTGTCCACTCACACGATGAGTGGCGCTGCCCAATACTGTCACTATGGCGGTGTGTCCACTCACAGGATGAGTGGCGCTGCCCAATACTGTCACTATGGCGGTGTGTCCACTCACAGGATGAGTGGCGCTGCCCAATACTGTCACTATGGCGGTGTGTCCACTCACAAGATGAGTGGCGCTGCCCAATACTGTCACTATGGCGGTGTGTCCACTCACAAGATGAGTGGCGCTGCCCAATAAACTCGCCCCTCGGGGCTAAATTTAAATCACCAAGACCGCAACCCATCCTCCGAATTGACAGTACGGTTTAATACTAAGTGTAATAAGTTCATTTCCTAACTGTTGTGAATAGTACATAATTCAACACTTAATGGGCCAGCCAGAGGCTTAGGGCCCGCGCAGGAATATCCCTGCAAGCAAGAAAAAGAAAAAGATAAAAAAGTACATAACTCCACTTACTTATACAGTTACATTTACATGCCTATTTATTCTCCTCGTTTTCTGTTAAGACACTCAGAATTTTAGGATGAAGTTTTCAAGTTCAAGTGTCTATACACAAGTTTTAAACATCAGGAATTTATTTTTGAATTTTATTAAACAATAGAGATTTTATACAACATTTGAAAATATCCTGAGTTACTTTACAATTTATTGAAATATTTTAGTTTTGTTTTATTAGTTTTATAAAATTGTAATATCAATATAGCTATAAGTTAAGTACTAATTGTAATTAAGAAACAATAAAATGCTTATCATCAAACACTAAGAAGGTTAGGTTAGGTCGTGGTTTTCTATTCAGCTTTTCAGGTAAACTCAAATATTCACAATATATTTGACAGTACGGTTTAATACTAAGTGAAAATAAGTACAATTCCTGACTGCTAGGAATAGTACATAATTACACTTACTTGTGCTGTCACATTTACCTCCCCATATTCGGAGGACGGGCTGAAGAGCCACAGTGAAATGGGGGAACAGTTCAAGTGTAGCTTCGTCAGAAGCTTCTTCAGTAACTGCAGCTGATTATAAAATGTGAAGCCGTCGCTCTACCAGCCAGGCCAGCGTGCTCACAATAATTAAAGGCTCAGAAAGTAGTTACTCCTTCCCTGGAGCACCTGGAAATCACCACCACAATATATATATATATATATATATATATATATATATATATATATATATATATATATATATATATATATATATATATATATATATATGTCGTACCTAGTAGCCAGAACGCACTTCTCGGCCTACTATGCAAGGCCCGATTTGCCTAATAAGCCAAGTTTTCCTGAATTAATATATTTTCTCTATTTTTTTCTTATGAAATGATAAAGCTACCCATTTCATTACGTATGAGGTTAATTTTTTTTATTGGAGTTAAAATTAACGTAGATATATGACCGAACCTAACCAACCCTACCTAACCTAACCTAACCTATCTTTATAGGTTAGGTTAGGTTAGGTAGCCAAAAACGTTAGGTTAGGTTAGGTAGGTTAGGTAGTCGAAAAACAATTAATTCATGAAAACTTGGCTTATTAGGCAAATCGGGCCTTGCATAGTAGGCTGAGAAGTGCGTTCTGGCTACTAGGTACGACATATGTCTATATATATATATATATATATATATATATATATATATATATATATATATATATATGTCGTACCTAGTAGCCAGAACGTACTTCTCAGCCTACTATGCAAGGCCCGATTTGCCTAATAAGCCAAGTTTTCATTAAATAATTGTGTTTCGACTACCTAACCTACCTAACCTAACCTAACCTAACTTTTTCGGCTATCTAACCCAACCTAACCTATAAAGATAGGTTAGGTTAGGTTAGGTAGGGTTGGTTAGGTTCGGTCATATATCTATGTTAATTTTAACTCAAATAAAAAAAATTAACATCATACATAATGAAATGGGTAGCTTTATCATTTCATAAGAAAAAAATTATAGAAAATATATTAATTCAGGAAAACTTGGCTTATTAGGCAAATCGGGCCTTGCATAGTAGGCCAAAAAGTGCGTTCTGGCTACTAGGTACGACATATATATATATATATATATATATATATATATATATATATATATATATATATATCTATATCTATATCTATATATCTATATATATATATATATATATATATATATATATATATATATATATATATATATATATATATATATATATATAATGCCAGTAATATTGCATTCACTTCAGCCCTGAGAGCCTCGAATCTCCGACCCCCAGAGCGGGAGATGGCCACTCTGATCCACGCTATGAACGGCCATAATAAGGAAGGATTCCAGCAGCAACTAACTGCTGCCCAACTGAAACTTAAAGCCTTCCCTGGGCTGTCAGTCAAGCATGGAAGAATTAGGTGATCAACGCCCGAGTCTCTCAATTTCTGACTCTTCCAAACTTGCCTACTACAGTATATACAGTTAATAATATTTATACAAAATACAAAAATAACACTACAAGAAAATCGAATTCCTAGCCAAAGCGTCATTACATAAATCCCTCGGGACCAACACGACTCTGCCTCACCCTTCGGGTTTTATCTTTCTGTTGAGGGTTTAGGGGAGAACTGACTTGTACATCTTCCCTCTTCACGCCACTAGACTCAACACACACGCTAAATGTTGCCTGGCAGTGTATATTCACTCTTCTCTAGAGAGATGCTGGGCGTTTCCTGTGGGCTGTGGGGAACTGTAGGGAGGTGGGGGAATGTGTGGGTGGGGAGGAGGGCCAGTAGGTGGGTGGGGAGGAGGGGCCAGTAGGTGGGTGGGGAGGAGGAGGGCCAGTAGGTGGGTGGGGAGGAGGAGGGCCAGTAGGATGGTGGGGAGGAGGGTCAGTAGGTGGGTGGGGAGGAGGGCCAGTAGGTGGGTGGCCCAGTAGGTGGGTGGGGAGGAGGGGCCAGTAGGTGGGTGGGGAGGAGGGCCAGTAGGTGGGTGGGGAGGAGGGGTAGGTGGGTGGGGAGGAGGGCCAGTAGGTGGGTGGGGAGGAGGGCCAGTAGGTGGGTGGGGAGGAGGGCCAGTAGGTGGGTGGGGAGGAGGGGCCAGTAGGTGGGTGGGGAGGAGGGCCAGTAGGTGGGTGGGGAGGAGGGCAGGAGGGGTGCACAATATTGCCTGTGTGGGGGAGGGCGGCCGTCACCCTGTTATTGGAAAGCGATAAATGACTGTGGGAGATGATCACAAACTGGACAACGCTGAGACCTCAGCTGCTGGGGGGAGAGTGCCGGGGAATTAGTGGAGGCTCGACGCAAGAAGAGGTGTTTAAGGCAAGAAAACAAGGAAGGAGAAAGTTTGGGCCACATCAGGTGACAGCAAGAAGAGAGAACAATGGGAGGGAGAAAATCTAGTTCTCAGTGATAAGAGTGGATACCTTGGCAATGAAATTTGTACTCTTCGGTGATAACATGAAAAGCCGCGGGCTGAACCAAGCAAGGCAGGCGTCCAGGAAACTTTACCGCCCTGTGATGCAGCTCATAAATGCTCAACAGCAGTAGTTGCAAAACCTCATATGAATCAAATTCTCTCCCATGCTGAGTATTCACCATTCTTCTTGATGGCCGGCCTCCGCTATCATTTATCCAAATTCCGGCCAGAGTGGAAAACTGTGCCAGAGATGTCAAAGAGGAGTTTTACTGTTCAACACGTCGGAGTCTCCAACACCAGAGAGATGTTGGTGAACTTATTATCTATATACTGTCAGTATATAGATAATCTTCATCTTCTTCTCAAGATTCCCCACCTGGCCCCGGCTTCATGGACAACCAGAAGGTGCCACCCAAAACGCAAGGTGCTCACCCATCAACAGCCTCATATTGGTCGCGCTATTCTCAAGAACGCCACTCCACCACATTCATTTCTTGGTTGACTCGCATTTGTAACGTGTTTGCTCAACACGCAGATGCGCGTGAAAAACTAGCCAACCGCCCACCTGAAGGTGGAGGGAGCTGGTCGGCCGAGCGGACAGCACGCTGGACTTGTGATCCTGTGGTCCCGGGTTCGATCCCAGGCGCCGGCGAGAAACAATGGGCAGAGTTTCTAAGCAACACCCGTACGAAACCTGATCGCCAGGTTGGGCTCGACGTACGAAACACGTGCACGCACGGGCAGGAACCCCATTACCTGAATGAACAGCCGCGCTGTGTACACCTGTCAGGGCCCCACACCTGCACAAAAGAATAACCAGCACACCTGCTGTCGGGGAAGATAAACTAGTTTAATTTAGCAGGTGATGGATAATGCCTTCCTCAAGGAAGAGGAACCATGTGGGAAGAAGAGTAAGAAGAGAATGAGTAGGAGGAGGAGGAGGAGTGAGAGTACTCACCTAGATGTACTCATCTAGTTGTGCTTGCGGGGGTTGAGCTTTGGCTCTTTGGTCCCGCCACTCAACCGTCAATCAACAGGTGTACAGATTCCTGAGCCTACTGGGCTCTATCATATCTACACTTGAAACTGTGTATGGAGTCAGCCTCCACCACATCACTCCCTAATGCATTCCACTTGTCAACCACTCTGACACTAAAAAAGTTCTTTCTAATATCTCTATGGCTCATTTGGGTACTCAGTTTCCACCTGTGTCCCCTACTGCGTGTGCCCCTTGTGTTAAACAGCCTGTCTTTGTCTATCCTATCAATTCCCTTGAGAATCTTGAATGTGGTGATCATGTCCCCCCCTTACTCTTCTGTCTTCCAGCGAAGTGAGGTTTAATTCCCGTAGTCTCTCCTCGTAGCTCATACCTCTCAGCTCGGGTACTAGTCTGGTGGCAAACCTTTGAACCTTTTCCAGTTTAGTCTTATCCTTGACTAGATATGGACTCCATGCTGGGGCTGCATACTCCAGGATTGGCCTGACATATGTGGTATACAAAGTTCTGAATGATTCTTTACACAAGTTTCTGAATGCCGTTCGTATGTTGGCCAGCCTGGCATATGCCGCTGATGTTATCCTCTTGATATGTGCTGCAGGGGACAGGTCTGGCGTGATATCAACCCCCAAGTCTTTTTCTCTCTCTGACTCTTGAAGAATTTCATCTCCCAGATGATACCTAGTATCTGGCCTCCTGCTCCCTACACCCATCTTCATTTCATTACATTTGCTTGGGTTAAACTCTAACAACCATTTGTTCGACATTCCTTCAGCTTGTCTAGGTCTTCTTGAAGCCTCAAGCAGTCCTCCTCTGTCTTAATCCTTCTCATAATTTTGGCATCGTCAGCAAACATTGAGAGAAATGAATCGATACCCTCCGGGAGATCATTTACATATATCAGAAACAAGATAGGACCGAGTACAGAGCCCTGTGGGACTCCACTGGTGACTTCACGCCAATCGGAGGTCTCACCCCTCACCGTAACTCTCTGCTTCCTATTGCTTAGGTACTCCCTTATCCACTGGAGCATCTTACCAGCTACACCTGCCTGTCTCTCCAGCTTATGTACCAGCCTCTTATGCAGTACTGTGTCAAAGGCTTTCCGACAATCCAAGAAAATGCAGTCCACCCAGCCTTCTCTTTCTTGCGTGTGCGTGTGAAGAGAGAGACAGCAACGCCTGGCCCTTGACAGGAAGTCTCAAGTTTTACCTCCAGCTCCCCCTCGACCTCCCAAGTAGCGACTAAGGCAGAAGTTTTTGGCCACATGCTGATTTTACGGACTTGGTTTCCATATGGATAATGACCCAGGGGGAGTGGGACGGGGGAAGTGGGACGGGGGGAGTGGGACGGGGGAGTGGGAAGGGGGGAGTGGGACGGGGGGAGTGGGACGGGGGAGTGGGAGGGGGAGTGGGGGGGGAGTGGGACGGGGGGAGTGGGACGGGGGGAGTGGGACGGGGGGAGTGGGACGGGGACGGGGGGAGTGGGACGGGGGGAGTGGGACGGGGGGAGTGGGACGGGGGGAGTGGGACGGGGGGAGTGGGACGGGGGGAGTGGGACGGGGGGAGTGGGACGGGGGGAGTGGAACGAGGGAGTGGGACGGGGGGAGTGGGACGGGGGAGTGGTACGGGGGAATGTAGAAGAGGGGGAGAAAGCAAGGCGATGTTTATAATTAGGCAGTGAAGGAGTGAAGGACATTTCATCTGTGTAACACCTGGAGAAGGGAAGGGAAGGGAAGGGAAGGGAAGGGAAGGGAAGGGAGGGAAGGGAGAAGGGAGGGATGGGAAGAGAAAGGACATCTGGAGGTAGTTACACCAATGTTCAGGATAAACAAGGGGGCCTACCGTGTTACCTCTGACGTAGACACTCAAAGGTTTCTTATTAAAGTTAATGTAACACCCAGGACCTCCCCCCCCCCCCCTTAGAGTTCACACCCAGGGAAGCCTTCTCCAAGAGGTCAGCCCAGATGACCTCCGGTTTATCTTGTATATTGATTAAAAATTCCTGGGTTAGTCTTAGTCAGCATAGTTTCAAGTATGTAATATTTCATGCAAGGGAATTAGACTCCAGATTCTTATGTGTAAACATCCCTGGATCTCCCCCTTTTGGCCAGGTCAGAGGTCAGTCACACACGTAATTAATAACTCCTCTCTTGAAGAGTGTATGGTGAATGTCAAACAAGCTTATTGAAATATTTAAGTGTTTGTGCACGTGTGGCCCGACCCCCTAGCATTTCTGACCAGGTAGCAACAGCAGATCTCCCCCTCCCCCTGTGGGGGTTGTATATAGAGGTCCTGTAGGGACTTAGGCAGGACAGAGTGCCGGACACCGGGGTCCAGAGAGGGCTGTGAAGAACATCTCAGCCAGGGAGAGACAGAGGTTTTAAGGTAATGTGTGTGATCTCCGAGGTTTTGTTCCCTGTTCAAATTTCTTAAATTTTTGCCAGTGTTAGAGTAGGATTTATAAGTGGTGATTGACATAATTTTGGTCTCAATAAACTCATTTTAAATTTCCCGTCTGTGTCAATTGTTTAATCCTCTTAGCCTTTTGGATATAGTGGCTGACAACCGTTTCATAATTAATGACAGTTATAGAAAGTACTCTCCAAGTCAAGCAATGTTTCTTGCCTCGTTGCTTGATATAGTCTCAATGGTCAAAGGCAGATGGTGGCAGCGTATTTAATCCTTGTGTTAGCATTTCCTTATTGGCAGTGTATCTTTGGTTCCGGTGTAACCATCATATGTCAGCTCACATTACCGTGTTTCATAACAGTGTTATCAAGTGCAACCGATGAGGAAGTGTTACTCAGGATAAGTAGTGTTTACATTATTATTTTGGTGCATTATAGTGGTGTTACAATAGGGCGGTGTTACATTAAGGTAGTTTAGCACTCTAACGTATACCGGTAAGCCACTGTATACCGAGCCAGTAAACACCAGTTTACTGTCGACACATAATAACGCAACATCTTGAGACACACAAGAAACAACTACACTCAGAAAAAAGACCACACCATTTCTCAATAAGGTTTCTTCTAGCTTTGACAATAGTTTATATATATTTCAAAATATATGAGACTGATTGGTTGACTGTCTATCTAAGGTCGCCTCAGCAAACTTTGCAGGATGAAACGTGAACGGTAGGTGACTATCATGGGCGCGTCGGCCCCCATGCGGCCTAAATATGGTGCTACTTGTCATTACTTTATTAACTCTCGTGTCCTTGAGGATATCCTCATAAGAACACATATCCTCATAAGAACACATATCCTCATAAAAACACATATCCTCATAAAAACACATATCCCTCATAAGAACACATATCCTCATAAGAACACATATCCTCATAAAATCACATATCCTCATAAAAACACATATCCTCATAAAAACACATATCCTCATAAAAACACATATCCTCATAAAAACACATATCCTCATAAGATAATGCATTCAGAATTTGCCAGTGTAGACTACTGATCAGATGGCCCTGTACGACCATGGTCTGGCTCGTTCTCGGCTCGCAATCGACAATTCCGGGTTCGGATCCCGGGCGGGAGAGAAATTGTTGGGCGCGTTTCCTATCACCTAATGCTCCTGTTCATGTACCGAATGTGTAAACTGGCTACCTGTCCCCCCGACACAATGAATTATATAATCTAGGGTAAGATGCACAAATGCAGATGTACGTATGTGTGTTAATTTAAAAATATATATGGTGCAACAATTATAACTCGATGTTGTTTATATAAAAAGTAACACGTTAGGCTAAATGCTACCAGCCAATCAACCAACCTGTCAACCGGGTAACCCTACAGCCAGCCAGCCAGCCAGCCAGCCAGCCAGCCAACCTACCAGCCAGCCAGCCTACCAGCCAGCCAGCCAGCCAGGTAGGTAGCCAGCCAGGTAGGTAGCCAGCCAGCCAGGCAGCCAGCCAGCCAGGCAGGCAGGCAGCCAGCCAGCCAGGCAGGCAGCCAGTCAGCCAGCCAGGCAGGCAGCCAGTCAGCCAGCCAGCCAGCCAGCCAGCCAGTCAGCCAGCCAACCTACCAGGCAGGCAGCCAGCCAGCCAGCCTACCAACCAACCTACCAGGCAGCCAGCCTTACCGGCAACGACACAGTTTACTGACAGCATAAACGATATTTTTTTGTACTAGCACACACTCAAGTTCCGGGCTGTTCAAACAACTGTTCAATATGTTCAGCCAACACACCATTTTTCTTGCCAGCTTCTCTCTCCGTCCCGCTACGACTAAAACAATGGCTAAAACACAGTTTGGAAGAACAAAACCCCACGTGAACAGGTAGAGGGTTATGCTCAACTCCAGGGGAAATTGTTATGATAAAGTGGGGAGGGGAGGTTGTCCCTCCCCCTCACTCCCCCCCCCTCTCCCCCTTTTGGGAGAGGGGGAGGGGAAGGGGGGGGGGGCAACCATGTCACTCTGACATAAACAAGAAGGATGGTGATGCGATCTGAGAGCTTCAGTGTAGGAAAGTACTTGGAAAAAATTCTGGAAGTTCTACTCCCCAAGCCCGGCCCGGGGCCAGGCTTGACCTGTGACAACTTGGTCCAACAGGTTGTTGCTTGGAGCGGCCCACAGGCCCAAATATCCACTACAGCCCGGTTGGTCCAGCACTTCTTGCAGGAACTTATCTAAGTGATTCTTGAAGTCCACGGTTGTTCCGGTAATATTTATTCTGCTTGTTGGGAGAGCACTGAATAGTCATGGCTCTCTGATATTCAGACATTGCTCTCTGACAGTGCCTATGGCGCCTCTACTGCCACCTGGCAGTGTGCGCGTACACGGAGCTGCTGTAGCTCTTCAGCCCCGCTTAACAGCTAATGCTTGATGGGGTTCTGTGAGTTCTACTCCGTAAGCCCGGCCCGAGGCCAGGCTTGACTTGTGAGTTTTTGGAGCGGCCCGCAGGCCCACACAACCGGCAGTCCCGGACCAACCACAGCCCAGTTGGTCCGCCACTTCTTGAAGAAAACTACCTACTTTTCTCTTGAAGATGTCTTAAAGATGTACCTGACAACATTCTAAACTTCTGCCATAGTGCACCCCGTCCTCCTAATAGAACGTCGCATTTTGACGTATACACTAAGGCCAAAAATCGTCGTACTAGAAAATGGCAGCGGCTCGCGAAATTGACATACTATCTAGTTTTCTGCTTTGGGTCCTCTGGTAGGTTAGGATAAGGGCACTTTAGTACGACAGTTTCTTCACGTTGGGAGCCCTTAGGAGGACGGGCGGCACTCACTCCAGGAAGGAGTGAAGAATGAGAGTGGAGGAGTCACGCCGCTCACAAACTGCTGGTCAAGGTGTTGACCCTTGACCCCCAATACAACACTTGTCCTATTCGATTAAAGCTGCACTAATATTGACCTAAAACTGATAACAGGAGCAAGATAACCATTACAACTGATCGGCCAAGTGCGCTACACTTTCCCTATGCAGGCGATGAGTCACAATAACGGGGCTAAAGTATGATGACCAGACCACACACTAGAAGGTGAAGGGACGACGACGTTTCGGTCCGTCCTGGACCATTCTCAAGTCGATTGAGAATGACTTGAGAATGGTCCAGGACGGACCGATACGTCGTCGTCCCTTCACATTCAAGTGTGTGGTCTGGTCATCATTACACTTTCCGTGTCCCGAAGAGACAAGAAAGAGCTTCAGTCTCAATACCAGCTGGCAGGCGGCCTTGACACCTCTTCTTCCCCTCAGGTAAACCACTCTTCCTCCTCCTCCTCCTCCCTCCCCTCTGCAACACAGGTAACTGCTCCCCTCTCTCTCTCCAGGTAACACAAGCCTACATGCTTGCACCACTTCAGGTGGTGGTGAGAGAAGATAGTTATGATACGTGTGATGGTGTAGCTGGTTGGTTACTCATGTCTCTCCCCTCACTGTCACCCTCCCTCCCCCCCTACCTAACCCCAACGTCCCTGGGATATCGTTGAGTGTCGTCAGGTGTAGCCTCCCTCTAGCGACTTCGTAAAAGACACGACTGTTCTGCCCTACCAGAAGCGTACAAAATAAAGTAGGTACGAGTGACAGGATGAACAACCCAGCGGGTTTTCTTCCTATTGGGGAGTGTTGTACATGCTGCTATGGCGGTGTGTCCACTCACAGGATGAGTGACGCTGCTCAATACTGTCACTATGGCGGTGTGTCCACTCACAGGATAAGTGGCGCTGCCCCAATACTGTCACTATGGCGGTGTGTCCACTCACAGGATGAGTGGCGCTGCCCCAATACTGTCACTATGGCGGTGTGTCCACTCACAGGATGAGTGGCGCTGCCCAATACTGTCACTATGGCGGTGTGTCCACTCACAGGATGAGTGGCGCTGCCCAATACTGTCACTATGGCGGTGTGTCCACTCACAGGATGAGTGGCACTGCCCCAATACTGTCACTATGGCGGTGTGTCCACTCACAGGATGAGTGGCGCTGCCCCAATACTGTCACTATGGCGGTGTGTCCACTCACAGGATGAGTGGCGCTGCCCCAATACTGTCACTATGGCGGTGTGTCCACTCACAGGATGAGTGGCGCTGCCCCAATACTGTCACTATAGCGGTGTGTCCACTCACAGGATGAGTGGCGCTGCCCCAATACTGTTACTATGGCGGTGTGTCCACTCACAGGATGAGTGGCGCTGCCCCAATACTGTCACTATGGCGGTGTGTCCACTCACAGGATGAGTGGCGCTGCCCCAATACTGTCACTATGGCGGTGTGTCCACTCACAGGATGGGTGGCGCTGCCCAATACTGTCACTATGGCGGTGTGTTCACTCACAGGATGAGCGGCGCTGCCCAATACTGTCACTATGGCGGTGTGTCCACACACAGGATGAGTGGCGCTGCCCAATACTGTCACTATGGCGGTGTGTCCACTCACAGGATGAGCGGCGCTGCCCAATACTGTCACTATGGCGGTGTGTCCACTCACAGGATGAGTGGTGCTGCTCAATACTGTCACTATAGCGGTGTGTCCACACACAGGATGAGTGGCGCTGCCCAATACTGTCACTATAGCGGTGTGTCCACTCACAGGATGAGTGGCGCTGCCCAATACTGTCACTATGGCGGTGTGTCCACTCACAGGATGAGTGGCGCTGCCCCAATACTGTCACTATGGCGGTGTGTCCACTCACAGGATGGGTGGCGCTGCCCAATACTGTCACTATGGCGGTGTGTCCACACACAGGATGAGCGGCGCTACCCAATACTGTCACTATGGCGGTGTGTCCACTCACAGGATGAGCGGCGCTGCCCAATACTGTCACTATGGCGGTGTGTCCACTCACAGGATGAGTGGCGCTGCCCAATACTGTCACTATGGCGGTGTGTCCACTCACAGGATGAGTGGCGCTGCCCAATACTGTCACTATAGCGGTGTGTCCACACACAGGATGAGTGGCGCTGCCCAATACTGTCACTATGGCGGTGTGTCCACTCACAGGATGAATGGCGCTGCCCAATACTGTCACTATGGCGGTGTGTCCACTCACAGGATGAGTGGCGCTGCCCAATACTGTCACTATGGCGGTGTGTCCACACACAGGATGAGTGGCGCTGCCCAATACTGTCACTATGGCGGTGTGTCCACACACAGGATGAGTGGCGCTGCCCAATACTGTCACTATGGCGGTGTGTCCACACACAGGATGAGTGGCGCTGCCCAATACTGTCACTATGGCGGTGTGTCCACACACAGGATGAGTGGCGCTGCCCAATACTGTCACTATGGCGGTGTGTCCACACACAGGATGAGTGGCGCTGCCCAATACTGTCACTATGGCGGTGTGTCCACTCACAGGATGAGTGGCGCTGCCCCAATACTGTCACTATAGCGGTGTGTCCACTCACAGGATGAGTGGCGCTGCCCCAATACTGTTACTATGGCGGTGTGTCCACTCACAGGATGAGTGGCGCTGCCCCAATACTGTCACTATGGCGGTGTGTCCACTCACAGGATGAGTGGCGCTGCCCCAATACTGTCACTATGGCGGTGTGTCCACTCACAGGATGTGTGGCGCTGCCCAATACTGTCACTATGGCGGTGTGTTCACTCACAGGATGAGCGGCGCTGCCCAATACTGTCACTATGGCGGTGTGTCCACACACAGGATGAGTGGCGCTGCCCAATACTGTCACTATGGCGGTGTGTCCACTCACAGGATGAGCGGCGCTGCCCAATACTGTCACTATGGCGGTGTGTCCACTCACAGGATGAGTGGTGCTGCTCAATACTGTCACTATAGCGGTGTGTCCACACACAGGATGAGTGGCGCTGCCCAATACTGTCACTATAGCGGTGTGTCCACTCACAGGATGAGTGGCGCTGCCCAATACTGTCACTATGGCGGTGTGTCCACTCACAGGATGAGTGGCGCTGCCCCAATACTGTCACTATGGCGGTGTGTCCACTCACAGGATGAGCGGCGCTACCCAATACTGTCACTATGGCGGTGTGTCCACTCACAGGATGAGCGGCGCTGCCCAATACTGTCACTATGGCGGTGTGTCCACTCACAGGATGAGTGGCGCTGCCCAATACTGTCACTATGGCGGTGTGTCCACTCACAGGATGAGTGGCGCTGCCCAATACTGTCACTATAGCGGTGTGTCCACACACAGGATGAGTGGCGCTGCCCAATACTGTCACTATGGCGGTGTGTCCACACACAGGATGAGTGGCGCTGCCCAATACTGTCACTATGGCGGTGTGTCCACACACAGGATGAGTGGCGCTGCCCAATACTGTCACTATGGCGGTGTGTCCACTCACAGGATGAGTGGCGCTGCCCAATACTGTCACTATGGCGGTGTGTCCACTCACAGGATGAGTGGCGCTGCCCAATACTGTCACTATGGCGGTGTGTCCACTCACAGGATGAGTGGCGCTGCCCAATACTGTCACTATAGCGGTGTGTCCACACACAGGATGAGTGGCGCTGCCCAATACTGTCACTATGGCGGTGTGTCCACTCACAGGATGAGTGGCGCTGCCCAATACTGTCACTATGGCGGTGTGTCCACTCACAGGATGAGTGGCGCTGCCCAATACTGTCACTATGGCGGTGTGTCCACTCACAGGATGAGTGGCGCTGCCCAATACTGTCACTATGGCGGTGTGTCCACTCACAAGATGAGTGGCGCTGCCCAATAAACTCTCCCCCTCGGGGCAAAATTAAAAAAAAAATTAAAAACACAGTAGCCCCCCAACCTATCGCGGCCTATGCATACAAAACGTTCTTATTTCGGTTCTTTAATTTATGTTTTTAATGCGTCGCATATTTAACGGATTGGTCGATTCCGTAACATATGTGACGTATTAGGCGAGAGGACAGGTGGGGCCCAAGACAGTAACCTGCATGAGAAACATTACACACTAAGACAACACGAGCAGGGGCTTGGGAGCTAGAACCCCCTCCTCCCCCCCCTTCGCCCCCCTCCCCCCACCCAGTCACATTCTTCTAAATGCTTGAGGGCAAAATTTCCTTCCCAAGCAGAAAAACTCTCACCCTTGTCACACTTGAAAAAGTCCCACATCCCCCTTCCAGGACGTCAAGTCCATCTGGGACGGGACCCAGATGGACTTGACGTAGCCTCTTCCAGGGTAACAACCACGGGACCCCAACCTCTCCCAGGGCTACAACGACGGGACCCCAACCTCTCCCAGGGCTACAACGACCGGACCCCCAACCTCTCCCAGGGCTACAACGACCGGACCCCCAACCTCTCCCAGGGCTACAACGACGGGACCCCCAACCTCTCCCAGGGCTACAACGACGGGACCCCCAACCTCTCCCTGGGCTACAACGACCGGACCCCCAACCTCTCCCAGGGCTACAACAACCACGGGACCCCAACCTCTCCCAGGGCTACAACGACCGGACCCCCAACCTCTCCCAGGGCTACAACGACCGGACCCCCAACCTCTCCCAGGGCTACAACGACGGGACCCCCAACCTCTCCCAGGGCTACAACGACGGGACCCCCAACCTCTCCCTGGGCTACAACGACCGGACCCCCAACCTCTCCCAGGGCTACAACAACCACGGGACCCCAACCTCTCCCAGGGCTACAACGACGGGACCCCCAACCTCTCCCAGGGCTACAACGACGGGACCCCCAACCTCTCCCAGGGCTACAACGACGGGACCCCAACCTCTCCCAGGGCTACAACAACCACGGAACCCCAACCTCTCCCAGGGCTACAACGACGGGACCCCCAACCTCTCCCAGGGCTACAACGACGGGACCCCCAACCTCTCCCAGGGCTACAACGACGGGACCCCAACCTCTCCCAGGGCTACAACAACCACGGGACCCCAACCTCTCCCAGGGCTACAACGACGGGACCCCAACCTCTCCCAGGGCTACAACGACGGGACCCCCAACCTCTCCCAGGGCTACAACGACGGGACCCCAACCTCTCCCAGGGCTACAACGACGGGACCCCAACCTCTCCCAGGGCTACAACGACGGGACCCCAACCTCTCCCAGGGCTGCAACAATAGAGCCTGGCTAATTTACCTCATCAAAGACTCTATATTAATTAATCAACTGAAAAACGAGAGCTGCCGTTGTGGGGTTTTACGTCAAGAGCGCGAAATATATTACAACATGAGGAGCTACAAGAGCCAGACAAGAGCTGTGGTTGAGAGTCTAATTACACTCTCAGATGTCCATTACAACCACTGTGTAAATGGACCACCAATGTTGACAGACAGACGCCTCTTGTGAGATGAAACGCTCGTCTTAACCAGCACCTCTGGTGTTGACAACAGCTAAACTCAACTTGAAAAAAACTTGTAAAGTTAACAAAAGATTCCCGTTGACATCAGTCCCTGTTGACGTCACACTGACAGGGACCCCCTCCCCTCTCCTCAAGTGTTGACGTCACACTGACAGGGACCCCCTCCCCTCTCCTCAAGTGATGACGTCACACTGACAGGAACCTCCACAAGTGATGACGTCACACGGGCAGGAACCCCACAAGTGTTGACGTCACACTGACAGGAACCTCCACAAATGACGTCACACTGACAGGAACCCCCACAAATGACGTCACACTGACAGGAACCCCCACAAATGACGCCACACTGACAGGAACCCCCACAAATGACGTCACACTGACAGGAACCCCCACAAATGACGCCACACTGACAGGAACCCCCCACAAATGACGTCACACTGACAGGAACCCCCACAAATGACGTCACACGGACAGGAACCCCCACAAATGACGTCACACTGACAGGAACCCCCACAAATGACGTCACACTGACAGGAACCCCCACAAATGACGTCACACTGACAGGAACCCCTCCCCTTCAAGTGAAGACGTCACCCTGACGTAAAGTTCTGGCCAAAATCTCTCCGGCTGTATAAACCTTTAAGGTCAACACAAGCTTCTCGAGTTGGACAGAACCTGGTCGTGTTCTAAAGGAAGGGGGAGAACCAGCTTGACAAAAGCGGTGAATAAGAGACGACAGATGTCAACAGGACAGGAAATAGACAGCAAAGGAAGGAAATATAGGTAGGGAAAAATAACTCGATGAAGTCGACAGTGGAAGAAAAAGACGAGAACTCTGGAGACTGTGACGAGAAGCCTGAAGAACGCGACATAATGGACCGGAAGCCCCGAACGAGAGGCCATAAATGGGACAAGGAAATCATCTAAAGGTCCTCGAGAGAGAAAATGGAGCGAGTCGATAAGATAAGAGTGTTTGTAAGAGGGATGAAGAAGGTGCTTATGAAGAGTGTGGCCCACACCTGGCTCTTATCACCAGCTGGCACTCTGGCCTGGCGCCTATCACCAGCTGGCACTCTGGCCTGGCGCCTATCACCAGCTGGCACTCTGGCCTGGCGCCTATCACCAGCTGGCACTCTGGCCTGGCGCCTATCACCAGCTGGCACTCTGGCCTGGCACCTATCACCAGCTGGCACTCTGGCCTGGCGCCTATCACCAGCTGGCACTCTGGCCTGGCGCCTATCACCAGCTGGCACTCTGGCCTGGCGCCTGTCACCAGCTGGCACTCTGGCCTGGCTCCTATCACCAGCTGGCACTCTGGCCTGGCACCTATCACCAGCTGGCACTCTGGTCTGGCGCTTATCACCAGCTGGCACTCTGGCCTGGCGCCTATCACCAGCTGGCACTCTGGCCTGGCGCCTGTCACCAGCTGGCACTCTGGCCTGGCGCCTATCACCAGCTGGCACTCTGGCCTGGCACCTATCACCAGCTGGCACTCTGGCCTGGCTCATATCACCAGCTGGCACTCTGGCCTGGCTCCTATCACCAGCTGGCACTCTGGCCTGGCTCCTATCACCAGCTGGCACTCTGGCCTGGCTCCTATCACCAACTGGCACTCTGGCCTGGCGCTTATTACCAGCTGGCACTCTGGCCTGGCACCTATCACCAGCTGGCACTCTGGCCTGGCACCTATCACCAGCTGGCACTCTGGCCTGGCTCCTATCACCAGCTGGCACTCTGGCCTGGCTCCTATCACCAGCTGGCACTCTGGCCTGGCTCCTATCACCAGCTGGCACTCTGGCCTGGCTCCTATCACCAGCTGGCACTCTGGCCTGGCTCCTATCACCAGCTGGCACTCTGGCCTTGTACATTGCTCCCTCCACTAGGTAGCAATGTACTGATTGCTACCTAGCGCCCAACCACTTGGGCTGGACGGTGAAGCTTCTTGCAGGTCGGCGTTCAATTCCCGACCGTCCAAGTGCTTGGGCACCATTCCTTTCCCGGCGTCCCACCCCAAATCCGTATCCTGACCCCCTTCCAAGTGCTATATAGTCGTAATGGCTTGGCGCTTTCCCTTGATAATTCCCTCTCTCCCTCCCTCCTGGTTGGTAACTGGTTGATGGGGTTCTGGGAGTTCTTGTACTCCCCAAGCCCGGCCCGAGGCCAGGCTCGACTTGTGAGAGTTTGGTCCACCAGGCTGTTGCTTGGAGCGGCCCGCAGGCCCACATACCCACCACAGCCCGGTTGGTCCGGCACTCCTTGGAGGAATAAATCTAGTTTCCTCTTGAAAATGTCCACGGTTGTTCCGGCAATATTTCTTATGCTCGCTGGGAGGGTGTTGAACAACCGCGGACCTCTGATGTTTATAGTGTTCTCTGATTGTGCCTATGGCACCTCTGCTCTTCACTGGTTCTATTCTACATTTTCTTCCATTTACTTCTACTAGGTTCTGTTCCCTCCACCCGTCCCCCTGGGTTCCCTCCACCCCTCTCCCAGGGTTCCCTCCACCCCTCCCCCAGGGTACCGTCCACCCCTCCCCCAGGGTACCCTCCCCCCTCCCCCAGGGTTCCCTCCACCCCTCCCCCAGGGTTCCCTCCACCCCTCCCCCAGGATTCCCTCCACCCCTCCCCCAGGGTTCCCTCAACCCCTCCCCCAGGGTTCCCTCCACCCCTCCCCCAGGGTTCCCTCCACCCCTCCCCCAGGGTTCCCTCCACCCCTCCCCCAGGGTTCCCTCCACCCCTCCCCCAGGGTTCCCTCAACCCCTCCCCCAGGGTTCCCTTCACCCTCCCCAATTTTGACCCATTCATATTGCTTTTGCCTTAATCCACACCAAACTCTTCATGAAATATTATATTGATTAAATTTTCAAAGCAAATATTTTAGGCATTTTTCAGGCGGGGGTTTTCCCCTTGGTCACCGAATCCTATTAATGTCTTCGGGAGGGGGTTTAACTCTAGGGGGGAAAAAATCATATTTAATTAATTTTTCATTAGTTTCCAATCCCTTCAAAAAATATCCTATTCCGTTTTAAATACGATGGCAGGTCAGAGGGTTTACAGGAATGGGAAGATTCTATTTCTGGCTACAGTCAACATTCCTTCTTTCACAAATTTTTAAACTGCCAGCACACACACACACACACACACACACACACACACACACACATTATATATATATATATATATATATATATATATATATATATATATATATATATATATATATATATATATATATATATTTGGTTGGGCTTTGGGCTGGGTTTCGGGTGGGGTTGGTCGGGTCGGGTCGGGTCGGGTCGGGTCGGGTCGGGTCGGGTCGGGTTGGATTTTAAATTCCGTAGGAACGAGGGCGTCTGTCCAGCGTCACGCGTCTCCCAGTGTGCGTTAACGCACTGGAATCAGACGTGGTGACGTATGTGATGGCGTCTGTCTTCCAGGCTTCACGCGGGCCACTCACACAATGGCGCTCAACGAGGGGCTTCGGTAGAGAGCCACAGCCTCAGTTAGTGAGGGTGTGAGCGCTCGAGAGCCCCGCCTCGACAGCCGGCCAGTCCAGGCCGGATACGTTGGACTTACCAGGCAATCTGTTGAAGTCCAAGATATCTGCAAGATGGCTACCCCGGAAGTAACCTCAGAACTCGAGATGGCTGCCGACTGACACAATGAAGCCGTCGGCTCCTTCAAACATTTAGTGATGATCCAGCCAACTATTGTGGTTACAAGAGAGGAGGCGGTAGTTTAGCGTCTGGTCCCTCAGGCCAAACTAGTGGCTCTGGACTAGAGTCCACCTAACCTTGAGGTTACCTCGAGGTGCTTCCGGGGCTTAGCGTCCCCGCGGCCCGGTCCAGAGTGACTCTTGCAGGGCTCGTGGGTTGAATATATGTGTGTGTGTGGTGGGTATGTGGGCCTGCGGGCCGCTCCAAGCAACAGCCTAGTGGACCAAACTCTCACAAGTCAAGCCTGGCCTCGGGCCGGGCTTGGGGAGTAGAATGAACTCCCAGAACCCCATCAACCAGGTATCAACCAGGTCCTCACCGCTCAAGAGAGTGGAGTCCCCCAGGGCGCCGTGTACAAGGCGAGAGTATTGATGATTGACAAGGGCCAAACTCTCCTACAATTAGAAGGTCATCATTATGGTAAGCTGATTCCAAGATCAAGTCTTGCCATCCGTCTTGGCGAGGGGGAGAATATTGACCCAAGACTCCGGAGGCTCCGGCTGCTCCACCTTACCTGGGGCCGGGAGTAAAAGCAACTTTGCTTTTACATTGAATAGGAACAAATCCACAAGGGCCGTGACGAGGATTCGAACCTACGTCCGGGAGCGTGTATTGAATAGGAAGTTTACGAACTAGGAATAACTTCAATGGTTGTTTATAACAATAATAACCTTGGGTTGTAAAGTCTGGGAACTCAGGAACTGTGTCAGAAATGTAAACAAAGGCGACATGATGGAAGAAAGATGTACAGGTTTCGTAAGGGGGTTGTGTAGATGTTTGGTGAATCTTGGCCCTAGGTACACCCCCCCCCCCCTCATGACACTTAAAAGCCACACTAGACTAGTGAATCACGAATCACACCGCCTACAATCCACACCAGACTGGTGGATCACACCCCCCCCCTTTGCACCCCGACAATATAATGTGTGAACGCTTAATTTGTGGCCACATTTGCGGTAGAGATATTGACCGCCCGAAGCCTCCCACGTGGTGTAGGTGACCAGCACGACGAAGTGGTTACTACACGTTCAATTCAAGTTCAAGTGTGTTTATTGAGACAAGAAAGAAATACATCTCAAAGGGATAGAGTAGCTTAACCTATTTCTACCTCCCCCCCCCCCCCATTGTGGTCACTACAACCTTCATGTCCCAGAGATCCTCAGACAATAATACCGACCAGGCTGGTCACAAATATCTCCAGTAGTTCTCACTACATACCGATGGTGACCTTTGCGGTAAATTGTGTCAACAAAACTATGCCCCCCCCCCCCC